CTTTCTCCTGAGGACGCTTGCACTACTCAGATCCTCCGCAGAGCAGGAGCTGCGTGTTGCACAAGAGGAAACTGAGGCAGGGGCTAGGGTCCCCCTCCCCCACCAAGGACTGAGCTAGTCCAGGCAGCCGGAATTGTAGGAGAGACTGAAGACACAAAAAAAAAAAAATGAAAAAAAGGAAAAAAAATGTAAAAAATAAAAACCAACAACAAAAAAAACACACCCAAAAATCCTATTTTTTGAGAAAGAAAGATATTTATATTTGCAGTTTTATTTTAAAAAGTTATTTAAGCTGAAGAAGCAGCCTTGCCGGAGCGGGGTGGGGTGGGTGGCTGGCGCAGGACGGGTCAGGGGTCTGGGGGCTCAGGCGCCCAGGAGCCACAACCTCAGAATGAAGACTAGATTGCATTAAATACATAGATTTACATTGGGGGGTGGGTGGGGGCGGGGCCAGGAGATGGAAGGGAATGGGGGACCCTGCCTGTGGATGGGGGAGGGTCCCAGTACCCAGATTCTCTGCCCTGGGCCTGAACTCGAGGTGCCTTGGACTTTGGGGGGCTAGGCCTGGCAAATGGGGGGGTCTGGGGCGGCGCCCATGGGGGGCACAGCACAGAGCAGACATTCCATAGATTGTATTTGAGAGTCTTTATAACGTGTGGGAGATGACAAAAATAAATGAATAAAAATGCACTTTTTGGGGGTGGGGGGAAGCTTTAAAGTAATAAAAAAAAGAAAAAAGACAAAAATTGATGAAAAAAAAAACAAAACCATTTTTCTTGTACATAAAAACCACTAAACGCAGCCTGTTACGACCGCTGCTGCCTCATTTGCCTGATTTTGCTGTTCTCTGTGTTTTGTTGGGGGAAGGCTGGGGAATGGGGGTGGAGGGTTGGGGGCCCCCTTCCCTTGGGGATCTCAAATCTGAATCCAACACAGTTGGAGACTCCACTCCTGGTGGCCTAGGGAGAACCCTAAACTTGACTCCACCTGGGGGGGCCCTTGCTTACACTGGGGAATGTGAAGGGAGTGCCATGGGAATTGGGGAGTCTCGAAGTCCAGGTTACTGGGGTGCCCAGGCCTGGCGGGTGGCCTGAGGAACATGGGGAGAGAACCAGCCGGGCAGGTTGTAAAGAATAAAAGACCAGGGCCTGAGCCTTGGTCCCCTCCAACCAGGTTTTCTGGAGGCCTTCCCTGGCAGGGTGGCCTCAGCCTGGGACTTCACTAGGTCTCCAAGGAGCTACCCCATGCCAGGCCCCAGGGAAATTATCAAGGATCTGGAGCTGGAAACCCAAGCTGCCCACCCCACTCAGCCAGCCCCCACAGGATACAGCCAGCAGAGAGAAGCCAGGGGCTGGCGTCACCAAACACAGCCACCTCCAGGGTAGTCTCCCAGTCAGCTGGGCCCATGACCTAAGCAATGTGTCCAGGTCCGCAAACTTGGTTTAGGGGTGGGTGGGAGCTCAGACCCAGAGCCACGGTTGGGACTCGATGGCTAAGCTGGCCCACAGCCGCCTCCAGGGGAGTAGAATCCACTAGAATGTCAGCTTCCTCTCTCCTGGGTGGCTGTCACAGCTCAGAGAGGCCCCGTGTCAGCTGCAGACATGGGTTTGAACCCTGGTCTTCAACAACAGGCTGTGGATCTGGCCTGGGCCCTGACCCTTGGTCCTGTATTCACCGAGGACCTTTCCTGAACCTGCTTTCCCACGCCTGGCCCCGGAAGCACCAGAGGCTCGGGGGGAGGTCAGGGCCATGGGTGTCCTCTGGATGGAGAAGTGGGGCAGGAGCAAGGTCAGCAGCACCCAGCCATGAGAGAATGGCTTTGTTTGCAATTGAGATCTCAGACACCTGAAAAGTCACCCATTCGAATGAAGTGAGCACCCATTACAATGCCCAGGTTACCACGACCTGCACTTAACCACACTTAAGACTGCCTGTTTTTTTTTTTTTTTTTTCTTTTTGTACTATGGACTACAAACAATGTAAACATATACCTGTAAGTTTTTATGTAATGTTTCCAACCCCAAAGACAAAGAACTGGTTTATAAAGCTACTGATAATAAAGGGCAATAATAATAATAATGAAAACTTTAAAAAAAAAAAAAAAAGGTCTTCAATTTATGTCAGAACCAACTTACGACAGAGCTGTCGAAACACAAGCCCATCATAAATTCAGACTACCTGCACATTCAGGGGTGTAGCCTGCACCCCTATTCCAGAACACTCTCATTACCTCCAAAAGAACCTCCCCTAAAAAGTAAAAAAACAAATAAAGGGACCCTGTACCCACTAGCGGTCACTCATTTCCTGTTGCCCCCAAGCCCTAAGCAACCACTAATCTACTTTGTGTCTCTGTGGGTTTGCTTGTTCTGCACATTTCACATAAATGGAATCACAGACTGTGTGTCCTTTTGTGTCCGGCCTCTTTCACTCAGCATGTTTCAAGGTTCGTCCGTTTGCAGCATGCGTCGGACCACACTCCTCTTTATGGCTCAGTGGTGCTCCGTTGCACAGATAGACCACGTTGCGTTTCCCCATTGCCTGTTGGCAGACACTTGGGTTATTCCCATCCTTCAGCTACTGGGAACAGACCTACAGTGAACATGGCTGTCCAAGGATCTGTTTGAAGCCCTGCTTTCCAGTTTTTGGGGTACACACCCAGCGGCGGGACTGCGGGGTTACATGGTAGGTAACTGAGGAGCAAGGGTTAGGTACCCCGCTAACTGAAAGGCTGGCTGGTTCACAACCACCCAGCAGCTCCACAGGAGACCTTGTGATCCCAGAAAAGCCTACGAGGAAACTCTACTCTGTAACATGGTTTGCTATGAGTCAGAAGCAACTCACGGTACCCAACACGCTGTTTAACTCTTTGAGAAAGACCGCTTCTCAAAGAAGCTGCACCACTTTGCATCCCACCAGCGTCACGAGGGTTCGTTTCTCCACGTTCCCACCAGCGCTCATTGCCGTCTCCTGATCATGGCTGTTCCAGCGGAGGTGAAGCGAGTCTCACTGTGATTGGGAGCTGCCTCCCCAGATGCTCGTGGCATTAAGCATCTTTGCGCGAACCCACAGCCATTTGCACATCACCTTGACCACCCCAGGAAGCAGGACAGTCCTGGTTCCACACTGAATTCCTTGCCAGGCCTAACCCACCTCTTTGGGCTCCCAGCTCAGCACAAAGAGACTGGGTCCAAGTGGCCCAAAGTACAATCTTTCTCGCTAGACAAAAAGCCATACCTTTTTGAGTCCTCAACCTTGTGCAGCAAAGGGGGACGGGAACGGTGACAGAATGCCTCCATGGGCCATGCTGTAGGGCACCCCGTCCTCAGGCACGGTGGGTGGGCCTCTACACCTTCTACAATGAACAGGCGAAGACGTGACGCCTTGCTGGCTTTGCCGTGACCATTTTTATTTGCATTTTTAAAAAACAATTAAATTAGAATACAAATATTAGAAAACAGCGGCTCCCAGCTGCCCAGGCGGGCGGGGGCCGGCCTGTGCCGCCGAGTTCACGCCAGGAGGCTGAGTTTGCCCTCCACCGGGTTCTAGTCCCTTCTCCTCGAGACCTGAAATGGTATTGCTTCCTGACTGAGGGGCGAAGTCTGCACAGAGGAACTGGCCCGGGGTCGGCAGTGGCGCGTGGAAAAAGCAAAGCAAATCAAAACTGCGGAAGCCGCGTCCGTCCTGCTCCCAGCACCTCCTGGGGCACAGTGGCTGGGTGGGGGGCCACCACCCAACTGCGGGATCCTGGAGGCCCCGGAGGCTGGGGACCCTGGAGTGGAGGCTTAGAGGGGCGCCCAGTGCCAGGCTGGCCCGGTCCTGCTGGAAGACAAGGGTGAGGCTGCCGGGGAAGGGGTGCCGGACAAACCTCATACCCATCCGAAAACCCAAGAGCAAGAACGAAAAGGAAGCAACCCAAATGGAAAGAGAAAGAGAGGGAGTCCCTGCTGCCCCTTGGGGAGTGGCCACCGCAGTGGCCAGGGGACTGCCTGCCTGTCGCGTAGGGGCCAAGTGGGCGGCAGCGGCATCTGGGGGCATCTGCACTATTCCGTAGGGAAGTTAACCTGAATTGGAGTTACCGAGGTAGCTGGCTAGAAAACTGAGACCCCCCCACGCCACGCGGTGCCACGCCACCGGGCCCCCACCTTCCACGGGGGGGGCCTGGCCACACGCCGGGGCTCCCAAAAACCGAGTTATTGCACTTTCAAAAAATACAACACGTCTGTGGCTAGACCCTTCCCTGCTCCCGCCC